GGCCGCGTTAGTCCTGGGGGAGAAACAAAATCTTTAAGTCTTTAAGTCTCTAACTTTAGATTAAAACAAAAACCATGTCTCAGAGCAAAAAGATTTTTATGTTATCCCGTCCAATCATCATTCTGATCTGCTCAGCCAATCACAGACAAAACTGATGAGAAGAGCTGAGGACAGGCTCATCATCTTTATGGTGCAGATGAGCCAGGAGAGGATGGAGACAGATGTGGGGCAGCAGGTCAGTGCACTTTCAGCCACAATGTGGAAAATGTAGCATGTAATTATGAGTGGAAGCAGCAGAGGAGAGAGTGTCATTTACTACTTGAGCGAGAACATCAGAGGTGCAGAGTGGGGGTGTACTTGGATGTTCTTCTCTGCTGATGTTCAAAACAAAATTAATGTCTTTGTCTTTCACAATAAAAGCCCGACATCGACCCAGGATGCTGTAGAAGTCACAGGTCATTGAGAGAGTAAAAACAGGCTGAAGACTCTGACTGTGGCTGTGGCTGTGGTTATGATGCTGAGGAGCTGCCGCTGCTGTGTATGAACACACACACACACTAGAATAAAGTCAAGTGAAAAACAGCTTCTTTCTGCTGCAGCTTAGCATTCTGTGCCTGTGATGGTTTATCACATGCCGACAGCAGAGTCGAGCTGCTGCTGGGGAACAGCCTCCAGGTCAAACACACTCACAGAGAACATGTGAGTCCAAAATATCTGCTCTGTGTGTGTGTGTGTGTGTGTTCAGAAGCTACAACATCTGCTCTGAAGGTCAACAGCTAAAAATAATGTTATTCCAATTGATGCTGCAGACTGCTGATGTATGCATCTGACTGCAGGGCCCGCACACACACACCACATACACACAAACCACATACAGCAGTCTGGTCTGCCTGTCAAACACTGACAATCACAGTCATTCTCAGGAAGCCTGCAGCATGTGTGTGTGTGTGTACAATGTGAGCAAGGTGACTTGTCGTGCACGCACAGACGCACAAGTCATTGATTGTAAATATAACAGCTGAGGTCAAACCTCACTGCATGTGTGTATACTCCAGATTTCCTATAATTTCAGAACCAGCAGCACTGATGGTAAAACAACGCACGACCAAAAATTCAAAAATCTGGTTGCAAAATGAGGTTGCAGTACCTCTGCTGACCTGTTTCAAAAGCTCTGACTCCAATGACAGACATCCTTGGTGTAAGTCTAGTGAGTATGAAGTGATCTCCTGTGTGGTGTTTTCTTCTTCTCCTCCATTCACCTATCTTCTGACATTTATTAAATGACTGAAGCAGAATGAGCTCAGAAGGCGGCTGCAGCTCCCCCTGACCCTCAGAGGACACGCTGCAGGCTACAGTTAATGGATGAAGACCAGAAGAATGGATGATTTGTTCTTGTAAATTCTCCCCACGTGTCTGTTTGCACTGGTTATTAAAGTGAGCTGAGTGTCAGACTAATGAAGTGAAACCAAATGGAGCCCAGAAGGTGAAACAGAAACTCACAGGAAGTACAACTACAGGAACTACCAGGCCTGATGTCACTGTAGTATACTGCTTTGTACACTTCAACTACACTAAACTAAGACTCAGGAATATTTAAAAAGTGTGGGCACTCAATCTGCAGTATAGTTCACGTCTGACCACAAAGGAACACAGAAGAAGAAGTAGACGACGACAGAATAACAAGATAAACGGTAGAACTGTTTGGGGACCAACATCAGTTCTCCAGATGATTTGGGACAAAAAGATTTGGGTTTAAATCCAGCCATGGGAAGGGGAAGCACTGCCCCCTCGTGTATGTATTGCTCAAAACTATGCCAACGGAAAGCACCCATTGCAGTATGTGGGCAGTGGTTTGAAACAAACATCTGTTTATGTAAGGAATGGGAGGAAAAACTAGCAATTTAATCTTAAACCCTCTTTAATCCTCACTGCCCTCTCTGCTCAGTGAGGCTGCAGGTGTAGAAAATACATCACAAAAGGGAGGTGTCTGTTTTATTGCCTATGACTCTCCAGCATTTCTGCCTCTCAGCCATGATACCTCTTCACTGTTCCACTAATCAATACCAGTGACAACAGTGCTGTGACCTTGGTCTTTACAGGACTGACAATCTGAAGAGTCCAGTAACACTGGGGTCGGTCTGCAGAATCAGTTTTTGTGTTAGACCTACGCAGCTGTTCCTACTATTGGTCAGCCATGATGAAAACAGTTCAGATTAATTGGAGTTTGTTTACTTTATCGGGAATAACCACACTGGCACATCATTCAATTCATTACTGTGTAACATTCTTATCAACTGATGACATTTAATACATCACATGAAATGCCCTTGAAATTGTCAAACAAAACCTTAATTACTTTGCTGCCACCTACTGGGCTGGAGTGTGTCCATCAGTGTTTCCAGTGTGGTAGAACTGAGGGAACTGAGAAATGAAGTGTGATAAAATACATCATCTTACTGCCCAGTTCCCAGTACTGGTCTGTACACAGGCACCGATCTGGTATTCTAACACTGCAGCCAGTTTTCAGGGACAGGATTTATGTAGAAGACAACTCATATTTCAACAGCAGCCATTCACTGGGTTTGGAGAGTAACAATAAAATATTTATATAGGAACCAGAGAGGAAAAAGACAATGTTAGGAATCAGAAATAGTTTCTGCTTCACTATAACGTCACACAGACCTACCTTTAATGGAGGATGTGTGTCTTTGCACATTAAGTTTTAATTTCAGTTGCAAGTAAAATAAAAACATCAGGAGAAAATCCTGTCTCAAAATGTAGAGGAGTTCAGAAAATAAAAATGTAAATAATGAAAATATGAACAAACCCAGAAGGACTGTTAAAAACAACACAAATGGCTTTTTTTTAATTCAGTACTTTTTCAATATTCAGTACTCTACAAAACCACTAGAACCACTGAGGTTAGCAAACATTTTAACAGCGCCCCCCTTTGGTTGGTGGCACCACTGTGCTATAAATCTGCTACAAAAAAGAATACAAATCAGTGTAAGTTTACCACTGAGGCATAAATATGTGAATATTGAAAGTGAAAATAATCTGCTCTACTGCGCCCCCTGGGGAGCCTTTGGAAACCACTGCCATAAACACGATGGCCTGCAAGAGTTCTAGTGAGTCTGGGATGTGGATGAGTTTCAGAGCCTGTTAAACACAAAGTTCCTGCCACGGCTGGGATTCAAACCAAAGAGTACAGCAAGAGAAACAATAATTTTGTCAGTCAACAATTTTCAATAAAGTTTAATCTATTCTGAAATGCAAACTGTATTTACGGAAAAATATGAACACTGTCTAAAATTAAAAAACAAAAATTACCATAATAACTTTTCATAAACCTACTGCAGACTGTTGATCAGTGTGTATTACAGAAGTGTATTAGCAGAATACACACAAGAGGT